TATCATGGAGCAATATTACTATTTCGTAATAATTTTTTTTTTGTTATATATATATATATATATAACAACTGTACTACAGAAAGGTGACTTATTTAGCTTCTTCAAAATATTTTCTTAGCAGAAAAGAATTTCTTGCAGAAGTTGCAATGTTGGCAAAGAAACTTCTGAATGTGACTCGCTTGCAAAAAAAATTGCTCAGTGCTTGATCACTGTCTCAGAGCTAAAACATGCTGAGGCAGCACAGCCAGTGGAGAAATCACAGGAGGAACCAGGAAAATAGTACACCGGAATCATGGCAACTATAGTTCTCTTTCTGTGACAGCTTAACAAAGGCCTGAGGTTAGCATGTCGACTTTTTTAATCTGTGTAATACAGTAATGATACATTTGTGTCCAAGTTAAGACATTTTTTAAATATGCAAAGCAAATTCGAACTAAATAACACACATATGGCACACTTGTTAATTCTTGGCACCAGTTGACATACATAAAACAATAAGAGTGTGTAATTAAAATGTAGAACAACTGCAAGCTTCATAAGCCTCATAATATGACATGATACTGGGTATGTTTTTTTTTTTTTAACCTCCAGTCTATGGCTAGAAGTCTATCTCCCAAGCCGTCATTGTTATTAACGCTTCTGACTGAGCATGTGTGCAAATATAGTGAGAATTACTTCCCAGCATATTGTAGACTCTTCCCCTAGTAGTACTTAGCATAACAGTCAGTTAACCCCTGACCTTTCTGTGCTCACAACCTCTAAGAGACAGGTCATATAATTCAGTGGCGCACAGGCTGGTAAGCTGGATAGTGTTGTTTGCACTTCAAATCATCACATCCTTTAATTAAAAAAAAAAAAAAGGGATGTGCAATGAAGTGTCCCAAATGTACACTGGCAGGATTCAGACTAACGCACCTCTAAACATGGCGAAAATCTCTTTGCACGCTAATAACCAAACATGTAGGGTTTCAAAATAAACAATATATACAGGTCTATTCTGAATAGAATATCAGATAAACATAAAATTAATTTTGACATCTGACTGCCAAGTACACTGTGGTAGCGGCTACATGTGTGCCGTGTGTACCACACGTTGTTGTGACCCCACTGATCTCAAGCGCCAGTACAGTTACTGAAACAATAGTGACACGATCCCACCAAATCAAGAGAGACCTGCCTACAACACAGGTTTTGTTGTTGTTGTACTTCTTAGGTTTGTTCATTCCCAAGGGAGCAGCTGGGTGTTTTTGCATATCCCAACTAGTGGCTCAGAGCACAAGGTCAGCCATTGTACATTCCCACTGGAGCAGTTCAGTAACCCAACAGCGGCTTTCTGGCAATCCTAGAATTTGAACTCAGTCCAGGGCAGTTAAAGGATTTTCTCTCATGGGAGATATAAATGAAATAACAGGGTGGCCACCAAAGCTGAGGACATACATGTATGGTGTTCGTATTCAAATTTCAGAAAGATCGCCTGAGCAAATTACTGTACATACTTCTTAATAAACATGAGCATAGATGAGATTTGCTTGAAAAGCTAAATCAAGAATATGTTACCTTAAATGAAGCCAGTATGATGTAGGCCTTAAAGCAAAACGTATTAAATTAAACCCTTTCAATTACGACAGGACCTCTGTCTCTGTCTGCTTTAATCATTTAAACAACTGGATTTGTTTCAGGTCAATAATAAATTATTTAATATTGTTACAAACATTAAATACACTATATGGCCAAAGGTTTGTGGACACCTGACCAATCACAGCGATATGTGCTTGTTGAACATTAAAAGATTGAGTCCTCCTTTGCCGTTATAATAACCTCCAATCTTCTAGGAAGGCTTTCAGCGAGATTTTGGAGCGTGGCTGTGGGGATTTGCTCATTCAGCCACAAGAGCATTAGTGAGGTCAGACACTGATGTCGGGCAAAAGAAAAAAGCCTAGTTTCGGGAAGAACCACACATGGGTGTAATGGTCAGATGTCCGCATATTTTTGGCCATATACTGTATTTGTTTTGAGCTACAAAACAATATAATCTCTGTTAATGCATACCAGGTTTCAGGGGAATTTTTTTCCCCATGTATCGACACTATTTTGAAAGCCCCGGAAATAGAACCTGTCATATATTTTTGTTTTATTTATTTATTTATGTATTTTGTTGATGACAGCTAAACTGGGCGCCTCTGTAAGAAGGAGCAGAGGGAGGGTGGAGAGCAGGTTCTGCTTTCAGTCACTAGCACAGAACCTTAACAGCTAACCTACTTCTCCATTTCCTCTGCAGTATGAAAACGCCAAAAGCTGCTAATATATAATAAAGACCTCTAAAGAACACGTTTAAACGTTCCTAATGGGTAGTTTAACAAATGTATAGCCAGACAAAACAACCACAGAGGAGTAAAAGAACAGTCCTAAGTCAAAACTGCAACAGACAAATGAGACATCAAGTGAAAAATTTATCATCGTTCCCCGAGAACATGATTCAAGTTTCCATATTTTGATTTGTTTGTATTCTCTTTAAATGTAAAACTTTTAAAACATGGTGAAAATGAGTGCCTGATAAAGAAAGCAACATAAAAATGCTTTGACTTTGTACCAGGACACAGCAGTTCAAAATGTCCTTATCCTCATTTGACCTACGGGCTTTCCTTTTGTAAGAGTTCTTGTTTCTTCTCAAAGTACACTTTAGTCAGGTATTCATCCGGCATGATACCGGCTTCCTTGAGCTCCGCCATGATCTTCTCCAGCTTCACCAAGGACTTGACACCCTTCACCTTACGGCCAGTAATGTACAGCGTGAACTGCTTAAAGTCCATGAGCTCACACGAGTCCAGCAGGCAAAGGTTCTTCACACCCTGGCTCTTGTCCAGTTTAGGGAAGAAGGTCAGGCCTGCCATTCTCTCCAGCTCTGTGAGGTTCACCTGGTACTCCTTCAGCTGGTGCTTGAAACCGATGGGAGCATTCGGCGCTACGAAGGCACCGAGAGCCAGCACGTCAGATGAATGGTCTTTTCTCGCAAGGATCACTTTGTACAGATGACTGGGTACAGCCACGTCGTCTTTTCCAATCAGCTGATTGAGTCATGTAGGGAATATTAAAGACAGATTAAATCAGATTTCATTCATAAATGTGGACTAGTTTTATTGCTTAAGAATAAGGAGCAAGAGTAAGCGTTTCACTCACACAAACAAAACGCACCGGTGTGTCCACTTGTACGTTAAATAGAATATCATCTGTATAATAATAATACAGTTATAACAATAATCATCCAGGAAGCATTTGGGGGAAGTCATCAGAGCTAACACGTTCTCCCAAATTGCTTAGGAGAAACCACACTGGCACAACCGCTTCATTCCACAGAGGCACCAGGGAAATAAGGGACGTATCTAAGCTACCGACTCTCCCAGGGCCCGAGTGTGCACAGATCAAGGTAACATGGCTCCTGTCGTTGCCAATTTATGATACACACTAGCCCTGGGGGTAGCTGTCTATGTCGATTTAGCCTTAACGGAAAAGCCAACTCTTTCCCTGGCCAGCTGGAGCTCCTCTCGTGTCTCACGCAGAGCAGAGGACACACACAAGTTTGCAGCCCACTCTACAGCCATTTCACGATTTAAACTTTGCTTCTGCTAATAATACTGTATATATACACCACTATGTCACTTCTAGGCATGATAATTATTTTTATAATTACATGAATATTTATTCATTCAGTCTAGATCACGTCAAAGTATTAAGTATTAAGCAAAGTAATTATTCATTCTACCTTCTTGCAGATTGAACACTTTTACTTTGTCGTCTCTCGTTAGTGGCACTTTGTAATTTTACCTTATTTACTTTTTTACATTTTGCACTTTACCTATGGTGATGCTTACTTATATACTGCTACCCATCAACAAGTGAATTTCCCTCCAGGGATCAATACATCTTATCTTATCGAATCATTTAACACTTACTGTGGAATATATCATTTAAGCTTCATCATGTTTGTTGGGCAGTAAAAAGCTACTGTTATGCACACGTCCTTAAAAATAATCAGCCAAATAACCATGTAAGATCCATGTCCACGCAGTCTGCCCAGAGACATCTGGTACAGGTATTTATTAATTCAGTGTAAATAGTCACTCTCAGAGGTTACCCTGGAGTGTGCCATGTCTCCAAGCTTTATGTTACAACCTCAGGTATGCTTTATTAAAACAAAACAAAACACAACTTTACTTCGGGCAAGAAATACTGCTGGAACACCTTCAGTAGAATATAGGAAGTGCCATTGTAAAAGCACTGGGCAATGCACAAGTGTACTGCTGACATCTACTGGTCATGTGCTGGAACCAAATCATTACGCTCTACCCATCTGCCATCAGGATATCTGCAAACAGTGACAGACTGGAGGAGTCTATTTCAAAAAATAAATAAATAAATAAATAAATAAAACCTGAGATGCATATTCGTGATACAAAGGTGGCTCCATTGTGTTAATTTTATAAATTTAACCTGGCAGGACTATCCAGAACATTTACATCTACCTGTTACTGTGCAGGTTAAATTTAACACTATTGTTTAATTTGACACTATTTTCATCTGGTTAAATCTCTGTCTTTGTCATTTAAAGGATATGGTGAGGAGTGTTGCAAAAGGACTGACAATACCTCTCATTTATCATACTGCAATGTATCTTTTTCTCTGTGTCATACTGGCCGCCCATACCTGAGGCCCAAATGCAAAAACATTTACTGGTACACAAATTGAGTGAGTGAGTGAGTGAGTGAAGTGACGTGTGGCCAAGTAAGGTGACCCATACTTGGAATTTGTGCTCTGCATTTAACCCATCCAAGTGCACACACACCGTGAACACACACCCGGAGCAGTGGGCAGCCTTTTTTTTTTTTGCTGTGGCACCCAGGGGGCAGTTGGGGGTTCGGTGCCTTGCTCAAGGGTCTCACCTCGGTCGTGGTATTGAAGGTGGAGGAGGGCGCTGGTCATTCACTCCCCCCACCTACAACCCCTGCCGGACCTGAGACTCGACCCCGCGACCTTCAGGTTACAAGTCTGAGACTCTAACCATTAGGCCATGACTGCCCCCAAATTGTTAACTTTGTGTGGACACCAATTTTCACTTGTTCACCATTTGTGGGAGAAAAAGGCTTTAATGTACAGAATTTGTACCCTGAGACTCTATTCATGTGGCTAGTGTAACGTCACCAGAACATAAGCAAAGAAACAACAAAAACTTTTCCAGGACCCTGTAGCGAGAGCTTACCTTCTCTCTAAGAGAGTGCGCCATGTTCACGTACCTGATAAGAGACGGTTTTCTTTTTATCCTCTCCTGTTTGTGGAAGAGTAAGTGGGCCTGAAATTACCCAAACATCTCTGAACCTTTCCGTCAGCTCTCTGCAATACATCTCCAACCTTAAAACAAGATATATCTGTTAGTACGAGGACGCAATAACGCTCCGATTTATCTTTCTCCGGCTATAATCAGATATTACTCGTTACCTGTTCCAGAAACCGGCGTTGTTTTCATAATTCTGTGGGACGATATTGGACAGATAGAACGTCTCCCCCATTGATTGCTGTTCAAAGACAAACAAGTTAAACTGACATGATCAAGCACAAGCTATATTTATAGGGCTTTGTATTTTGGAATATTGAACAATATTATATTTCATTTAGGCTTTTATTCCTCTGTATATTAAACACTATAACTGCAATATTGCTTGGTTATAAAGGAAATATATAATCTGGTCTACGCTGATTTTGTTTGACAATCATTGAGATAACAGCTTATGAGTATAAATGTTGCCTTGCCTCTGAAAATTTATTGTCGCCAGCTGGTGCCATGTGTCCTCGAGACCAACCGCTGCCAAGGTAGTCTTCATTGTGTGCTGTGAACAGCTCTGGGATGTTGGGGTCTGGCTTGAATTTGCAGTGCTTCCTGTCTGCTTTTCCTAGTAAATTACATCAAGTGAACAATCAGAAGTGAATTTGATTTGCTTGCTTGAAATGCTGTCACATTTTTCCAGCATTTCCACACTGGTTGCTATAGTCATGATGTAGGCAAGTCATGATTAGCTAAATTATATGGCCAAAGATTTGTGGACACCTGACCATCACACCCATAGGTGAGTCTTCCCCAAGGAAGACGACAAAGGTAGAAGCACACAGTTGTACAGAATGTCTTTGTATGTTTCCCTTCTGAGAGGCTCAAACCTGTTCCAGCATGACAATGCCCCTGCGCACGAAACGAGTTCCATGAAGACATGGTGTGCCAAGGTTGGAGTAGAAGAACTCGAGTGGCCTCCACAGAGCCCTCACCTCGACCCCATTGAGCATCTTTGTGATGAACTGGAATGCCAACTGCACCCCAGACCTCTTCGCCCCACATCACTGCCTGACCTCACTAAAGATCTTACGGCTCAATGGGCAAATCCTCTCAGCCCTGCTCCAAAATCTAGTGGAAAGCCTTCCCAGAAGAGTGGAGGTGGATACTACAGTAAAGGGGACTAAATCTGGAATGAGATTATCAAAAAGCACATACGGGTGTGACAGTCAGGTGTCCACAAACTTTTGGCCATATAGCGCATTTCTACATATTTGGACCTACAAACAAAAAGAGAAAATAAACTATGAATGTATACGCAAATTTTCTAAACTAGTTATCAATATATATATCAACTATAATCGTTTAGTAATTCACTGAGTCCTGGCTCTCCATGCCTTTTTCTGTCGCCCTATTTCTGACCAATGAATGAAACCGTTTCTTGCTTTTACGCTCGTTTCATTATTACACCGTGTGAAAACAAACCAAACCAAAGAGCTTAACTCTGATTGAGAGTTGGTAAACAGACTAATAGGTGAGCCTGAATCTTAGTGAAACTGACGTTTGGTTTGTTAGCTAATTACTGGACACACACTGGACGAGGGTTGTGCAGGAGGAGACAAAGACTGAAAATGAATTGCTCAGAAACATGCCGAGCATGGAGAACACAGAGCTAAATAAATGATTAAATGATCAAATAAATGACAACATTTTTTGCAGTTGGGTTGATTCAGGGTCAAATCACTTTCTCACTGTTAAAAAGACACTAGAGTTCATTTGAGAGCGGACTCGACCAGCTCACACGGGCAGTCTTATAGCGTCTGTTTTGGTGTGATTGCTGTGTTCTCACTTGCCTGAACAAACCACTCGCACCATGAAAACTCACCAAGGCTCGATTCAAACAGACTGAACGCTGCCCATGTGAAAGCGGTGCAGGGCAGGTGAAACTTCGCTAGTAAACTAAGCTTGCTACCAAAATAGAGACTTCGCTATGGACTATGTTTTACATAAGGACACAAATCATCGGTCCGCATATTTGATTTAGCACTTTTTTATTTTTTATTTTTTTAAAACACCGATTGCCCTTCCTGATGCAACCTTCCCTAATTTTATCCGGGCTTGGCACCGGCACTGGAAGTGCACCGTCTTGTACAACCCCAGTGGCTGGGGTCGGTTCCCCGGCCAGGAATCGAACCCAGGCCGTGGCGGTGAGAGTGCCGAGGCCTAAGAACTAGTCCTCCGGGGACCTGGTGCAAACAACAGTGACAAACATAAATGAGTTTTAAACAAAACAAAGAAAGAAGACATGCCATTTCTTCAGTGGTGCAGACAGATCTTTGTACTTTCTTTCCATGACCTTTATTTATTTAGATTTTTATTTTTTCATGTTATTCATTCAGGTGTAGTCAGAGTCAAATGAATCATGGCTTGAATTTAATTAGAAACAGTTGAATTTCATAGGGGTTTTCTGCTGTTCAGACCGCAGAAAGTCTTTCTGGATATTCAGGAAGATGTTTTACAGCTCCAAGGTGCTCCGAGGTCCATATCCATGGACCTTGAAGATCAGGAGGCAAAACAAAAAAGGAAAGAAGTTATTATGGTGCACTACAACTCACCAAGTAGTTTTTCATTAGACAGGTGTTCAGCCACCCATCTCGGTGTCCTTCGGCTCTGATCATACGACAAGATGTGGTTGGTGTAGTATCTGGTCTCAGCTCCATCCACAGGGAGCCCATAGAGCTTAATGAGTCTCTGTGCTGCACTCTCTGGGGAGAGAAAACACACACACACACACACACACACACACACACAGTTAATTGGCCAAGCAAGATCTCACTTACACTTGCTCATATTGACAGAAACATGTTTGGCAAACATTGAATGGATCCCAAAAACCCATTTTAGAAAAGCACTACAGGGTGTAGTTGACTATGAAGTAGTGTCTTCTCCGCCCTACTTAGTGCACTACTTATCCATTCAGGAGCCGATTGGAATGCAACCAACCTTTAGTTTATTTAAAAAAAACAAAAAAAACAAACTTAGCTAACCAGAAGCAGCAAGAGTAGCACATTTTAGTAAAACTGGCTAATATGTTACTCTGTGTTTGTCAAGTACCTGGCAGCTACTGTCCTGTATCATATTTAAAGTTATTGTTAATTGTTAACTGCTAGCTAGCATAGATAACAAGAAACAGCTAAACAATAGCTACTAGCAAGAACGGTACAACAACAGCTAAAGCTGTACCTAAGCCAAAATGGCTACTATTCAGATATTAAACAGCCCAACTGACTTCGTGTTGTTACAAATAATTTAAAAAAAAATCTAAAAAAACCCAGCAGCTGAATATTAGGCTATAAAATTATGTAAGCTGCTAGCTTGCTACCTTTCTCCTGTGTGGACTCTGCAGGCTGAAGGTATAGTTTAACTGCTACCACGCTAGCACCAGTGCTAACAGTGACTCCACATACAAAACCACCAAAAAATCGCACAAATTTAAGACCAGAGGCCATTTTTCTTCCAAATATGAACTGAAATTTAGCTTTGGGTTCTTTCCGAGCCAACTGGCTCAGCGTTTGAATAAGCAAGTGCTGTATTCAAGAGAAAGAGGGCTCAGTGAGGAGCTGGGTTCCCTCACATCTCCATCTTGTGGCCACAAAGAAAAAAAAATACACCACTGGTCTGGATCATTTTTCAGGTGAACATACACCGATTAGCCATATCCTTGTTTCGTGGATATTCAACATTACATGTAACTATAATTGAATATAAGGTATAACGTGTCATTCTCTAATTAATAATAAATGTAATTGTTGGCAAATTGCAGTGGTATGAATAGAAGAATAATTCAGTACAGAAACAGATCAGCTGTACTGTAAATCATTCTGGAAACATTTATGTGTTCAAACCTCCCAGCAGTGCTTCAGGGGGTTAAACAGAAAATATACACCTGATGTCAATACCATGTAAGCATGGCTTGACTCGACCCTCCACCATCCAAGACTGGCACCAAGGTGATGAAGTGACTTTTCTGCCACCTCACTTCACACCTGAACGAACACTAATTACACACTAAGCGCTATATTTATTTTCCTATGTATTTATTTATTGACGCTGACTGCTGTTACTGGCAGCGCCTGAGCTTGTTTAGATTCGGTTCAATCTGCACTAAGTAAACAGCCAAGCTCGGTAAAGATCACTCTGGATTAGAGAATCCGCCAAATGCTGTGAACATAAATATACACCAGTGGAGGCACTCAGGAATAGAAGCAACGACATCCAAAGTGTACAAAGTCTTACTGACAGCTAAGATGAAGACTTGCCTGTACTCAAGGACAAAAATAGGAACTGCTCATGATCATGATTATGACATATCATACAGTATGTAAAACATGTTAGCAGGGGCATTTATGGCAGCCGGTGGAAATAGATCATTTTGAATGTAACTAACACCAGAACATGCTGTTATAGGAAAATAATCCACAATGGGGTGGTGTGATGCGACCAGACACCAAGCAGAGAGCCGCTAACACACACTGTCATGTTTTATTCCTTACTAATACCACGGCAATTTGCCAACAGTTACAATTTTAAACTTATTAATGAACAACACTTCATGCTTTTTAGCTATTTATAGTTACATCTGATGTTGTGGAGCATCAAGACAAATTATTTCCTGTTTTTATTTACATTATAACAGCTAAAAACTGTAGTTCCCTCACCCACTAGTCTTTTTTTTCTCTCTCTCTCTCTCTCTTGAAAA